TTTAGAAACTGCTAAAATCTGTATTAAATCTGTATGCTATTTAAACTTAAAATCTGTATAAAATCTGTATAATCTAATAAACCAAAATAGAATGATTGATCATCATCATCACCATTGCTTCTTTTGAAAAACAAGGAATAACTACTAACGTGATAAGCTGATAAGGTTTTATTATCGTTATTAAATGATTTTTTTATAGAATAAAGGTGACAAAGGAGCACATAGTCCACCGATGGTAAGCGGATACTGTGGCCCATAGACATCTACATTTATCCTCGCTTAAGAATAAAAACGCAGATACGTTGTCACGCCAGAGGACTTCTCGCCTCATTTCCAGTAAAAAAATGGTCTCCGGATTCCTACACTCACCATAAGAAACACAGCAGTATTAAGCTGGTATTTTACGCTGGTATTCTGTGAGAGTGTGGTCCTACCCCGGTCGAGCTCACTCATTCGTTTTGCAACCATAGTATATCTGCAGTGTGGCTCTATCACGTATAAAATATACACAACATTTTTTATATAGCAAAATTGAAAATATTAATTTAAGCAAACCACATATTAAAACTCAAACATTTACAACAAATGAACATATAATTACTTTATTATTTTCAGTCATATATATTTTATATATACATATTTTATAATACATTTTTAATTCTGCTATACTAACTAATTACGTTGTGAAAAAATAAAATTAACCATAAAGATTAGAATCATGCAATGATGTGTGTAACGCGGTATCTAGTCACTTATTTTGCTTCATTCTGTTTTAAGTTGAATATTATGGTAATCCAATCAATAGAGTTAGAAAACTCTGTATAAAAATCTGTATCCAGTGCTAATCTGTATCACACACCGAAAATCTGTATAAATACGGGGAAATCTGTATATATGGCAACACTGCTAGCTACTAACGTCAGTTGTCGTCACAGAGTACTTTCTAATATACTGAAAGTTGTCGTAACTTCAATGTGACGCCGACACGCCGAACGATCCACGATAAAAAAATGGGTAAATGCGTAGTGAAAGAATGCGATTTTAAGGTCACAAAAAATAATAAATCATGCTGAATCACTTTCCACACATAAGTTTTAGTTCTAGCGTTCATATAAACGTAAAAACTTAAAACAATTAAATAAAATTATCGAATACTGCGATTTAAGTTAAATGTTGCCACTTTTCGACCTTTGTGATTATCCCACATTAACGGGAGACTATTTAATTAATGGAGTAAGTTAATTTGTTTGAAATTATAATAAAAACTACGTTTGAACTTTCATACAAAATAATTAATTATTCTTATTGTTTATTCATGAATGATCTATTAAATATATTTTATTACCTATTTTTACCTTATAAAAAATATGTTTTATTTCATCAGTTATGCTAACTTTTATTTACCTGATAGGAAAATATACTTTTTTTAAATAAAAACAATTAACTGCAGCTTAAAAAACTCCTTTTTATTGCGTATTTTGGGTTAAATTTCATATAGTAAACCCATCGATCACTAATGAAGAACTGATCGATGAGTAAACCACACCAACCCGCCATTGCATGTCTGGTGTGTCTATCTATATCTAATCCTAGCGATGGTATTGTTTTCGCAACTTGTGTATGTGAGACAGATATATGTTTGTTTAAAATGTTTAGTAATTTCAAAGCTATGTCATCGCGGTTGAATAGTGGTTACACTTTTTCTGTCTAATTGCTTATTGTGGTTTGCTCCTCTAGTTTTGTATAACTCAATGGCATCCACGATTATTATTACCACTAGCGCGGGGACGCTTTAAAAAGGGGTTGTAATATTTTACAGATTTCACAATCTGTTTGAAAAATGCGAAGGTTAATGTTTCGTTCCGGTCATTAGTTATGTTTTATAATAATTATATTAAAAAAGAAATAAATCCAACCATTTATATTTATAAAATATAAAATTAAAAAAAGAGTAAAAAATGTGCAAATAATTAAAGAACATACCACTGAGGCATTGTTTCGTTTTGTCTATTAATATAATACCTCTTTTTCTATAGCATAGGGTGACAAACGAGCACACAGTCTACGTGATGGTATTTGCTTGCTGTGACCCATAGATATCTACATCTATTCTCGATTACGAATCAAAATGCAGACCCGTGAGGACTAAGATGATATGCCTCGTATCTAGTAAAAAGTGTCGCCAGTTCTCTACACTCAACATACGAAACACAGTAGCATTAAGCTACTATTTCACGCTGGTAGTCCGTGAAGGCGTGGTCCTTCCCCAGTCGAGCCGACCCATTCGTGCTACAACTATACTACTAATATAACTGCAGCATGCCTCTACGACGTACATAAACCTACTCTAGAAACTGACAAAATTTTATTTAAAACTAACTTCTCAATTAAAGATCAATGACCTCAATAGTGCCTCCCAACGGATAGGTCTTAAGATGAACATGGACAAAACAAAGATCATGTTCAATGTCCATGTCACACCTATGCCGGTAGTTGTTGGGAGCACTATGCTCGAAGTTGTTGACGAATACGTTTACCTGGGACAAATAGTCCGACTAGGTAAGTCCAACTTCGACCGAGAGGTCAATCGACGGATTCAACTCGGCTGGGCAGCGTTCGGGAAATTACGGCATATCTTTTCGTCAGGTATACCTCAATCTCTAAAAACTAGATTGTACAACCAGTGCGTGTTGCCAGTGATGACTTACGGATCTGAGACGTGGTCCTTCACTGCTGGCCGTATGAGGACGCTTAAGGTCGCTCAGCGAGCTATGGAGAGGGCTATGCTCGGAGTTTCTCTGCGTGATAGACTCAGAAATGAGGATATCCGCAGTAAAACCAGAGTGACCGACATAGCCCAACGGATTAGTAAGCTGAAGTGGCAATGGGCCGGCCATATAGCTCGAAGAACCGATAACCGATGGGGAAGAAAGGTTCTCGAGTGGCAGCCTCGTACCGGTAGGCGTAGTGTAGGGCGACCCCCCACTAGATGGAGTGACGACCTGGTAAGACATGCAGGAAGTCGATGGATGCAGGTGGCTCAGGACCGTGCTTTGTGGCATTACTTGGGGGAGGCCTATGTTCAGCAGTGGACTTGTGAAGGGCTGTAATGATGATGAATGATGATCTCAATTAAATGACAATGAGGATCAGTAAAGTTTTTAGGTAAGAATGCAGATTTATAGAGATAAGAAATCCTTAGCATACTGTGCAAAAATTTTTGTTCTATGACATAAATTGACGAAGTTATGACTAAAAGTGTTGTTCACTTACCGTCCGGCACGGTAGCTGTGACGTCACTGTCGACTGTCAGACTGTCACGCATAGATTACTGAATATATACTAGAGACTGTCACGGTTGCCGCCAGTTAGTCCACAGAGTACTTTTTGTATTAGCCGTTGGCAGCGATAAGGCGCGCGTTTTGTTTGGTTCTTATTTGGTTAATTGTGACTTTGAAAACAAATAAAGTGTTCGGTTTGTGTCTAATTAACCTTTCTAACTAAGTATAAATATTGTACAATGCCGAACGTACAAATACTTTCATTAAAACGTCAGAAAAGCTATTTTTTAACGTGCCGAAAGACCTAAAACTTCGTAAAAAAAAATGGTATTCCGTTGGATTCTTCTTATTCCTAGCCGATAGTTTTAAGGAAGCGCTATTCTAAAGTGATTTCAATAATTGATTTCAACGATCGAGAAACCTAGCAATATAAAATCTGCAATACCATTAGGTACTTGATTTCAATTACACCTGACGGTTTCACAAAATTTATCTCTTTGAGATACGGAGGGAGGACCACGGACTCAACAATATTTGAAGAGCGCTGATTTCTTGACAAATTGGCACAAGGAAGTGTTGTGTTAGCTGACAGGAGTTTCAAAAATATTTGCCATTTACTGGAACAACGTGGTTGTACACTCCTTAGGCCGCCTAGTGTAAGTTCCAACTCAAAACCTACAGCAGAGGAAGTCTTGCAAACAAAGAGAATCGCTGCTATAAGAGTTCACGTTGAAAGAAGTATAAGGAAGTTGAGAGACTAAAAAGATCGGACCTCACGCATATGTCGATACATTTGTTTGATAATATGGTAATTATAGCCTGTGGTTTAGTTAATTTACAGAATTGTCTATTTAGTAATCAAGTGTAAAAATAAAAATGCTTTCGTTACTTTTTTAGTTTTATTTCGACAATCTCGCAACATCAAAAGCACATATCATATTATTAATAAAAGAGTAACTTTAACTCTCAACCAGTTTCGGAAACACTTTTATTTTTCAAAAATGCACAAACTTCTCTAAAAGATTTTTGAATTCTACTTTTTTATTGATTTCAAATTTTCATTAGCTAAAAAAAACAATCCCTTAACTTTATTGCAAAAAACCTTTGTAGCTGAATTTGAGCTTTAGATTTGCTGCCGAGAACATTATTCTTTGCGAAAATTTCCTTTCATTTCTTTCTCGAGGGACGTTTTATTTCTACTACGTATTCACTTGTCAATCTATCTGGAGAAGCACCTTAGGCATGCCACGCACTAGGCAGCCGGCTGCCGGTTGCGACGGCCGAAAAACAGCCCCAGCGCCCTGGCTGCGCAGCCAGGCTGCGGCCGCCGTTTGACAGCCAATGGACAGACAGCCAGTTGCGATCCTTTTTTCGAGGGATATGGACGTGGAAGAACTTGTAATTTTGTGCGTATCTCGTAAAAAACGCAAAGTTAAAAGACATTGGATTCATCCTCTTTTTCTAGAACGGCACTCAAAAGGCTTATTTTATACCTATTTTAAAAATGTTCGTAAATACCCAGACCGGTTTTTTAACGACACGAGAATGTCAGTGCAATCATTTGATAACCTTTTGGAAAATATAATAAATTCAATCAAGGGCACTGATACTCCTTTACGAGCTTGTATAACTCCAGAAGAAAAATTGGAACATTGAGGTAAGTGCTAAAATAAAAAATACTGTTAATTGTTTATAACATTTATTCTTTATTTCTTACATTTATGCTAAAGAATTTTCCTGAAATAGTTCAAGTAATTCAGAATTCTGAGACGTATCTGTTACATTTGTGTCAGATGGAGATAACACCTCAGTATATCCGGTATTGTCTTGCTTGTCTGGAACAGACGTAGAATATGCACGGCGGCTTTCACTGCTCGAGGCTTCTGGCCCATAATTTGACTGTGTCGAGTATCCACGGCGATATTGCCCACTGCTCGAGATTTCCGGCCTATATTCAGTTGAGTATTCATGGCGATATTGCCTACTGCTCGAGTTTCCCGGTCCATATTCAGTCGAGTATCCATGGCGATACTGTCCACTAACCGATGTTTCTGGACTAAATAATCTGGCGGTTGATGTCCCTGGTTCATAATCAACATGACCTTGGCGAAAACCAAATTCGGAATTGTAAGTTTCCATAAAAGGCATTTGAGCTCTTTTTATTACGTCAATTAACTCCATTCTCGTAGAAAGTTTACTATGTTTCGGAATGTTTTTAAAATCTTCTAGAAGCGAAAGCATAAATAGTCTATCTGAATCAGATTCTTGCTTTCTTTCACGCTCTTCTCCTATTGCGATACTTTCCTTTAATACTTGAACCAAATTTTCGTCGTCACATGTCTTCTTCTTTTTGGAAACGGGTCGTTTACCTTGAATACAATCGCTGTCATCGTTGGTTTCCGCAGGGCGTGTTTCACCCATGCTATTTTGAGTTTCATTATTTATTACAGTGGCCTTAAGAAACTGTAGTTGTTCGAAATATACGTAAGGACTCTTACGCGAAGCTGCTGCTCCACTTTTAGCACCGGCTCTGCGTTTTATTTCCCTGCTGTAACTAGTCCTGATGTTCTTCCACTTTTGCTGTAGAGATTTACCTGAAAATTAATATAAGTACTTTATTACAGATATCTTGCTACAGGCTGTTCTATGATGGAAATCAGCCATAATTTTCGGATTGGACATACCACTGTCCGAGATGTCATATATGAAAATTGCATGGCGATTTGGGAGAACATGAGACAGTCAACTTTTCCAGAATTAAATGAAGAAAGGTGGCTTGAAATAGCAAAAGGTTTCAATGAAAATGCAAACTATCCCAATTGTATTGGTGCCATCGACGGGAAGCATATAAGAGTAATTAAACCCAGCAACTCAGGATCACTTTATTATAATTATAAGAATTATTTCTCAATCGTTTTACTTGCTGTATGCGATGCGGATTATAAGTTCTCATATATATAGATATTGGGGCATATGGAAAATGTAGCGACTCATCTATATTTAAACAATCTATTTTGTATCAAAAAGTCGTCAATAACGATATACGAATCCCGGAGAAGAGCCCCATATCAAATAATGGTGTACCGATGCCACACGTCACTGTGGGAGATGAGGCATTTGGTTTATCTGAAAATGTAATGCGACCTTATGGAGGAAGGGGTTTAACAGCTAAAAAAAGAATCTTTAACTATAGACTGTCTCGGGCAAGGCAGCACATAGAATGCACGTTTGGGACTCTGGCAAACAAATGGAGAATTTTTCACCGTCCACTGGATGTCCGACAAGAATTTGCAATTGCCATAGTACAAGCATGCTGTGTCTTACATAATTACGTGCGCGAAAGAGATGGTTATAGATTTAAAGACACACTGTACGTTCCTCCAGACCTCGAAATAACCCCAGGTCCCTTAAATAGAGGGAGCCGATCATAAGCATCTTATAGAGATTTATTTGCGGTTTATTTTATCAATGAAAATCCGCTAGAATGGCAAAACCAATATGCATTGGGATAGTAGGTACCTACCTACTCTATACTTTTAAGTGTATAAACAATAAACTAAAAATATATCCATAGAATAATAAAATACTAACTAATAAAAAACATAACGTACCAAATTCACTTTTTTCATTTGCTGTCCTCGCACATTATATTTGTGATTTCTTCCCATTTTCTTTTCTTTACATCACGATCACTGTATTCTTCTGAAGATATATCCCATATTGCTTTCTGCTCCGTATCGAAAGTCATTTTGTGATTTCAGATAACAAAATACGGTCTGGCTGCTACGACAAGTGCGCGGTGACTGACGGCAGCCAGCAGCCACATACATTCGCCGTACTCGCTCTGGCTGCGCGCAGCCAACGAGCTGAAGTGCAATCGGGCGCGTTTTTATGGCTGCCGCAGCCGGGAGTTCGTGGCTGCTTAGTGCGCGGGGGGGGGGGCTTAATGAGGCCTATCGGGTTTCAAAAAAACCCACCAATTTCGATAACTATTATCCCTGTTTTGGATACTTCTGCTCTGGCATCGGATGCCAATCGTGTGCCTTGCCTCTTTTCACAGACAGAGTCTCTGGTACAGAAGTACCAAATATTTTTTCAATCAAAGCACCATCAGAAGTCTTGTAATGTGCATCTTTGTGAACTTTAGACGCGGTTATTCTACAATAGGAATTGTAAATAACCGCGTGTAGAATAACCGTTATGGTATGAGTTAAGGTGGAGTTAAGCTTGACAAACTGTTGGCCTAGTAATTTTTTTTTCAGTGGGATGTGCCACCTCGATTCGGAGGTATTTCAATAATGTTGCGCTATGTTTGCTGCCTCCTTTTTGAGCAGTGCTTTACTTTTTATTCTATGTTCAGGCGCTACTTTTGCTTTTATCGTACAAACATGTTCCGACTTCTGGTTTCACGTGCCGATCTGTAATAAATAAATAAAACGGAATAAAAATATACAAATTACAAAATCTTATCCTATCCTACTTCGTACCAATATTATAAATGTGTAGGGTTGGATTGTCAGTGTGAAAGTTTGTGAGGATGAATGGAACTTTGTTCGTCTTTCAAGCAAAAACTGCTGAACCGAAATGGATGAAATTTGGCAAAAAGGTAGATTAAGTTCAGAATAACACTTAGGCACAAAGAAACTATGCATTTTCCACCATAAAATAATTTTAATCACGAAAAATTCACGGTTCCTGTAGGATAAATAAATAGTGGTCAATGCGGGTGAATCCGCATAGACCACTATTTATTTATCTATCCTATTATTATTTTAAATAAATTGCCAAATATAGTGCCCAACCGTGTCTCCGCACTATCACTTTTTTATGTCATAAATATTGATATATCATTTTTATGTCATAAATAATAACGTGGATACTAGTTTTATCGAATTTTCTACAACATTACTGATCCTCATTGACAATGTGTAACAAAAAGCTTCACTTTCAGTGTCAACCAGCGACATCTGTGGAGCAGATGATTACTAGCCCTCATTGTCGGTACACATTTCTTTCTTGCGAATGTGTAAGTTTGGCGACAGTGGTTCTGGTACAAATTACGCGTTTTGCTACCTCCCCTTTTCCTTGAATGCCATATCGATGACAAAACTTGTCAATCACATGTCTGTCTAAATGTCCACTGAAACCTACAAACCTATTAAAAATAATTAACACTTTCTCAACTAGATAGCGCTACTTTGTTATTACATCGTGATATGGTTCTGTTAGGAGAAACAGACCTAGCTACGAATGAGCAAATCGGTTTATACACTTATTATTAAGATTATTAAGAGTCATTTATTGTATATTTTTGTAGTCCTATTGATAGGATTTTTAACACAGAGTACCTTTATATACACTGAAGTAGGGAAGGGACCAAACTAGGCATGTCGATTCACTCTTAAAAAAATCGATCTCTGAATCGATTTGAATCGAAGGTACTTGAATCGATTATCGATTAAATCGAGGATTAAAAGATCGATTTTCAATTAATCGCGACATTTTCAAACATGAAATTTCAAGAATTTTCGATTTTTTTTCTTTAACTTCTAAACAGTTTTTTTTAATTTTTTTAAATATAATATTAGTAATCTTATTGATTAACATTACTAATATTCCTTTTAACCACTCAAGCTTCCGCTTGTGTTAGGAGTGGTTCGCACATACTCCACTCGATCCCTTTTTTTACAAAGTGATTCCACGTAACACTTTTATTTGACATTTTAGGCTAAAAACAACAACAATACTTTAACAGAAGTGCAAACTACAACGTACATTTCTATATATATATAATAATCTGTTTCAATCTAATAACTCACTATTTATCATATCGAAATGAATGCTACATGAACACAATACTGGTTACTTCCTTACTATAAACCTCTATAAACTTCAACGTACGGTATAATATTTATTTACAGTATCTAGGTAAGTATTTATTTACAGTAGGTAGGTAAATTACTCTGTCTGTACTTACAGCTCATAGTATGTACGGTAATGAATAATGTAAATTCACAAGTTCACAGTTCAAACAGGTTCACAGCTATAATATTATATTATAGTACAGGAGGTGAAATATAATATGAAAATATCGCTCGGTCGATCGAAAAAATGTTTATAGTTTGGGATGTAATATACTCGTATATTACATCTCAGTGGAAACGGTTCCATTTAAAAGTACGGTGAGCGTTATTAATTTATATCTCGAGATGTAATATAAATTACATTATATCCCTTAGTGGAAAGTGGGCTTAAGAATTTTAGAAATTAAATGAAATGACAACTTTTCGATATTGTTGGATAAAGAGCAAAAAATTAAAAAACTGTGGTATCTTACCCCATCCAATTTGGGAATTTTAGCTAGTTCTTGTATCAAATGAATCGGTCCGATTCAAGAGGTTTTTAGATCGATTCAGTGAATCGATGCGGTGCTTCGAATCGATCTAAAAAATCGATAATTTTACTCCAAAGAATCGATTTTTCGATTAATCGATTTTAAATCGACATGCCTAGACCAAACTTCGACCTATAATATGGCAATGCATAACTAGCGCCATCTCGTATCCCTAGTCAGCAACTTTATATATTGTGATATCTATTAACATATTAAGCTTATATGTACATAAGCCGTATATTATATATATATATATAAAAGATAGCTGAGAAAAGAATTTGTGTTCACACCACAACATTCTTCCGGAATTAGTATAACTAATTTGATAAATAATCAGTGCATAAAAATGTTTAACTAAAAATTCAGTGTATGTATTATGATTATAACATAATATACTAATTGGGGTGTCAGGGTGTGCGTTAATTACGTTACATATTGTATAATTTGACACAGTAATTAAATATTATTAACTAATTTTGGTAGCAACAAGAGTAATTATTATTTCTTTCTTTTAAAAAGTTTACTTCTTGACTTTTTGGCTTTAATTTGGAAATAGTTCTCATCATCATCTACTTCTTTTCTCCCAGCTAATATTCTATTAATATTTTTACAACTATTAAAAATCAGACAAGGCATCACAATATTATTCCAATAGTCAACTAATTTATTTTTGTGCGTATTACGTTTCATAAAATCAAAATCAATTAAAGTATATAATATGCTTGTTTTTATAATATCTTTTGACTGATCATTTTCAAAATTGTCCTTTTAAATATGATTGATTATATCCTGCATATCTGAAATTGATTGAATCAAATCATTGCTGGTAGTACAAAGCCCCATCGTCTACAATGCAAATTCTATGTATTTTATGTATTTACAGTTTTTTTTATTCTTAGAAAAAGGGCTGTCGCTGGGGTAATTATCACACCCTGGTACAACAAAATTCTTAAATAGGATAAATACTAACAAATAAACTTATTATAATTACTTTAATCTCTTATTTGAGGGGATTTCAAATAAAATGACGCGTTACGTAAGCGGAACCCAATATTTTTCAGAAATCGAAATGGACTTTAAATGTGGGATATTTCGATGGTAAATAAATTGTCATATAAGTAATGCAAAACTATTAAGAATCTTTTTAATAATATTCATTAAAAATCCATTTTAAGGGATCGTATACTGCAATATTTATTCAGTTTCGTAACTTTTTTAATTACCGTTTAAATAAAATAAAACTATTATTATTCATATAACTTTTATTGTTTCAGTTAAATCAAAGAGAAATCTTTTTAAAAACTAAGCTTATTATAATATTCTTCGTAGCAATTTAGATAATCTACTGTGTAAAGCTCCATTATGTAACTTTTCAGATATTTCGGGGGGAAAAATATCATTTACCACAATATTTGAAACAAGTTTAATGTCAAACTCTATTAATGAAATAAAATAATAAAAAAATAAACACTATTAAACTTTCTTTTTCAGATCATCAAGATTTGTAAAAACGTAAAAATTTAAACTAATAATTGTGGGACAGTTACGATAATGGAATAATGTGTTACGAAAAGGAACTGCTTAGGGTGTATGCACATATACCCCATTTATCCATAAGTACTAAAATAATACCTAATTACTATAATTTAAATATTTTTATCGTCATATCGTCAATATCTTTTTATAAGAGGAAATTTTATTAACTTTTATAGAATCTATAAAAAAAATAATTGCCTATGTTTGGATCATAAACAAGTTTCCCTTACTTTAGTACTTAGTGATAAAACATAAAAAGGTTTGTATCTATAAAATTTATACTTAAATGTGTAACTGTAACTAACTTACCGAATTCCTGTTCGTAAATTTTATAAAGATTACAAATTGTGTCAACCAAATATCTTCTTTGCAGTTTTGTTTTTACTTTTATCTTACACTCTTTTTCCTGCAGTACACCTTGTTATAAATCTCTCAGATAAAATATTTCCATTTCTTCTTTTACTTTAGTATTTAATAAACGCCGCTTAAAAGAAAATTTTATTCTGCTTTTCATACCTTAAAATTTTACCGTAATTTCCTTTTATTTTTGAAAAATGGCAAATCACTCCTTTTAACAATCTCTTGCCTTTTTGAGTCTTGTTGTCCTTATAAGTCATTTGGAGCGCCTTTTTGATTTTCTTATTTTCTTCCTCTAATTATTCATTTTTGTTTACTTGTGCAGATTTTATTTACTTCTTTGAATTTGTTTTCTCAAACGTCGTACTAGTAAGTTTAATCTTTCTTGATTTCTTTTCGATTTAGTTAAAGCATTATTTAAAAAAAACGTATTTTCTTCTTCAAACGATTATTTATTTAATGTCTCTTTGTTCAGAAGTCTTACTTTCTTGTTTTCTTTCTTCAGAAGATATTTTCTTTTCTTTTTTGCTGTTTTGATTTCTCCAGTATCTTCTTTTTTTCTATTTTTCTTCTTCTCTGAGCTCATTTATCTTTTTTGACATTTTTTTACTCGTTCTAATTCTTTTGTTCTTGTAAACTTCATACTTTTTCTTCGTTCAAATTTTCTCGGAATAGTTTTGCCCGTTCGGACCCTGTGAAAGGCATTCTGTTTGTAGGTAGGTTTTAAAAATAACTTTTAAAAGTATCTGTAAGATAAAAAAACTCTCTGTTCGAAAGTCAATTTGTAAAATCCATTTTCTACAAACTCACGAGAGGTTTCGGAAGTCACTTAAAAAATTTATAATAAAACATAATCTTTCTATTTACGTTAGTTAAATAACTACTACACTTTCTAGTATAGTGATGAAAACCATTTTAATATCTTACATTGGCTATAAGTAATGTCAATTTGCAATTAGATTAGTAATGTACACGTTAGTCAATCGTAATTAAGATGTCTTTTTTTTCACTCCTCGCGTGCGATTTTAGTCCTTCCGCAATTGAGGCGACCCAATCATGCCATACTCACCCCAAAAAATAAAATTATACGGAGCTCTAAGTACATTTCAAAAAAAAAAACATGCTCAACTTCTTAATACGCTTTCGCATATAAGTATTAGATATCTGTGTTTTTCCTTTCTGAATCAGGTAATAGTTTACTGGTGAATGCACACAGTGGCTCTACTACGTCGAGAATTTGTACTAATGAAATTTGGGCGTAATAGTAGTAGTCAACGAATTATGTATATTACAAATAATCTTATCGTCGTTCTGGGCGGAATTTAGTCATTGATTTTAAACAAACTTTCCGATGAGCTGGATGCTTGAAATGTTGTATATAGGTCAATTTCAGATGACAAGGCAAAAGTATGATGAAAAACGTGGTAATATTATTTTTAATTTAAAAATTTCACTTGTTTTACGCTCGCAGTTTTTACCATGAATGTGGACACTACTTAAATTATTAATCAAAAGGGTAGCAAAAGTTGACTCATATTAGTCACAAGTTGGATTTGCGGCATCCATGGCGTCTAACCGATCCGTAGAAATTTCCCAGTGGGTCCTGATTTAGATGACGCAACCACACTGATGTAATGCCAAAATCAATTTCAATTTTTTTTATAAAACTTCCATCCCTTCTAGTGTCCACACCCAATTGTTTACAGTTGGAATAGATTCTACCAGGGGAAGATATAAACATCATAGACGCAAAAACTTTTTTGGCATCCATCCATGTTTTGTGATGTATGGAGTGAGCTGTTGCAGGTCCAAGTAGAGTTTTGGCATCTTATCTTTTTAAAACTGCTATTAACCGAGTCGAAAATATTATCCATAAAAGCAGCAGATCAGCATCTCTGTACTCTTCTGGAAGGATACCCTTCGTCTTTTTCTTGTCTGCCAATGTACCTCCTCAAAATAAAAAACCAAAATAAAAAGGGCTTTTTTTTAGGAATAGGGTGACAAACGAGCACACAGTCCACCTGATGGTAAGTGGTTGCTGTGGCCCATAGACATCTACATCTATCCTCGATTACGAATCAAAATGCAGATGCGTTGTCACCCGTGAGGACTAAGATGGAATGCCTCATTTCCAGTAAAAAGGGTCTCCGGTTCTCTACACTCACCCGTATCGCGTATACTGGAGAGCACTCGACGACCATTCGTGCTACAGTTGTAGCAACGAATGCAGTTATATTAGTAGTATAGTTATACTACTAATATTACTGCAGTATGACTCTAACACGTAAAAAAGGGCTGAAAAAATACTGACAATGCTATTATCATTACTAATATTCCCCTTAACCACCAGCTTAAAATGTTTGTGCTAGGAATGGTTCACGAGAGTAGTCGAATGGCGGTTTCGATTTCACGACCTTTTGAGTTCGCGGCCCGCACCCTGCCATTAGGCTAACGTAATGATACCAATGATTTCAAAAGGAAGGATACGCCCATCTAAATATTTTACTCATAACTTCTTCATACAAGAAAAAGTAGCGCATCTATCATAATACAAACATCATAACACGATGTAACCAGGGTCGGATTTCGTAGTATAATTATCCTATTTATACCATTATTTTATAATGGGTGCAGTATGTATTATCTTAATAATACTAGGCGAATCGCAATTCGTTATCGCACATGTGTAAACATTGTTTTTAAGTTTCTCCTATCCATTTTTGCCAGAAGCTTGATGACGGCAGCAGCTTATCTCAGTTTGTGTGTTGAAAATAAAACAGAATTTCAAAATATTTTATGAATACGTTCAGTTTCAATTAAGTAGGTATCGTTTCTTCATAATCAGTTTTGCTACATATAATGTGTAATTAATTTTAGTTTATCTTTTCTTTTCTTTTCTTTTAATTGCTACACCTACGACAAACTCTCACCACTCCATGGGTTGACTAGTAGGGAATGCCTTTAGGCATTAAGTCCAGCCTTTGTATCCTTTATTTACTAAGGGGACGCAATAAAAAATAAATAAAATAAAACACATTAAATATACAGAGAAATTCAAAGGTTTTTGCATTATAAAAAAGGTTATATCTTATATTCAATAAATTGAAACTTAAAAAATGGCATCATAAGTCAGACTAACCAAGATTTTCTTTGTGAGAAGTATTTCCTTCCACTTTTGTATATAATCGATGTACCGAACATTCAGAGTAAGGACCTGAAATGAAATTCATAAATCAGTATCAAAAGAAGAAAAGAAAAGATTTAAAGAAATAACCAATGTAAATAAAATATATCACTGGAGGTTAGGAGAAATAGGTGTTCCTCAGTGGATTGAAGTGTAACTCCCACAACAATATAGTGTTAAGTTTAGAGTATGAGTTGTCTATTTAAATTAATAGACAGACCAACATGTTTCCTCTCATTAACATCTTTACCAACATTACATGGCGGCCCTGCCAGACGCGAATGCAAGTGCACTGTCGCGGTCTGCAAATTATTAAATTGTTAAATTAGAAAAGAATTTGACTGTAATTTACACAATTATACTGGATATGATGAAAAGGAACATTAAATGCGCATATAAATATGCCCTTTTCTTAAATATTTAATATTAAGTACATACTTTTTGAGAAAAATGCTGCTGGGATTGCAATTTGTATTTGGATCTGTCTGTTGGAATGTTAATTATAATGATTACATTGTTTTACATCGACTTCTTTTTTCAGTATATCTTAACATAAAATGTAATAGTTTATTTTTTATAGAATATTAATGTCTACATAACTTCTTTGTGTAGATTATGAAAATAATTTCGTTGTATATAAAAAAACTTAAGATTTAGAAACATAATATATGTATACAATAAATTTATCTAAATTTTATATTAGATATTGTGAGCCTCATTCCATGGCTGAAAATGTTATATCAAATACTACAGATGTGAAGAAATTTATGGCTAAATTACGGAATACATAATTATAAATGAAAAGTATTGATAGTGTGCAAGTGCGAGTGACATGGTAAATAAAATTTTCAGAGGCTAGCATATCCGCATGTAATCAGTCTGATCAGCTCAGAGTTTGGAAAACCTAATATCCAATTAATTTATTAAGAATGTTGATGTGATTAAATGCAGTATGAGTTTTAATGTATTGTTAATGAGGGAAATATATGTATAAAAAACAAATTATTTTTTATAGTTTTTGCTAGTGGTATGTATAGTGTAGCCCCCTCGACAGCATATAAGTACTTATATATTAGTGTCAAGTTTAGAAAAAGCTGAAAAAGAGTAGTCTAATTAAAGTCATAGACAGAACAACACATCTCCCCTTATTGACAGGAGCAAGTTTGATTAAAGAAAAAATATTTTTAAAGTCAAATCAAAATGTTGGCTTGTTAAAATCTCTTAAGAACATATAAATACACACAAATCTACAACTTAAAATCAACACATTATAGAATATCTATCTTTAACAATATATTAGTAGCCAGGGAACTTGTTCGTGCAGAGTAAGAGCTATTCCCACAAACTTTCCTCAATATATGCATCTATTTTAGGCTTTATAACAACCCCAAGGCAAAATTAGGGGTGTTATAAATTGAACATATGTATTTGTGCGTCTGTCTGAAGCATCATAGTGGCCGCATAGATGGACCATTATTTAGCTTTTTGTTGTTAAAAGGTGACTATATCAAGAGTGTTATGATTAAAGAAAATCTGTTCAGCCATTTGAAGATCATTAGCTCTTTTTTTTTGTGTTTTGGGTTTACTAAATTTTTATTAGTTATTTAACAAAATTTCCTTCATAAGTTTTATAAATCTTATGTTCAGTTATTGCATTATATTTAATTTTATTGTTTAATTTTATGGACTTCTTAAGTCAATCCAAATTTAGGAACTTCTATGGTATCATCTCAACCCTTTCTACAGAAAACTTCTTTCTTATTTTAGTAATAAATTTACATTTTGAATAAAACTAAATTTACGGATTTTATCGCGTTTATTTCACTACTTTTACTTATTTTTAAATCCCCGACGTTTCGGGTGCTTTACAGCACCCATGGTCACGGGGGGACTCTCGTCCCCACCTGAAACGTCGGGAATTAAAAATAAGTAAAAGTAGTGAAATAATCCGTAAATTTAGTTTTATTCAAATTTACATTTTTCCATAAGTATGTTATGATGTTCTCATAAATAAACAATGATGGAAGTATTAAAACAATAGTCCCCTTGAAAAGGACACATACTATGTTCAGCAGTGGATTTGTGATGTGCTGTAATGATGATACTATTATCTATGATTATAAGTATACATATCAGACTTGTTAAAAAATATCAGTGCCTGTAGGTGTTGACAATTTAGCCAGTTGCAAAATTTATTTCATGGGTTTTCTTCTCATAACTGCTGATTTATTTGATGATGTAGCTAAAAGAAAACAAAAGGATTAACCAGCCCCGGATCTAAATTTTGTTTGAACCGGGGCAAAAACTTGATAGTGGCGCCTCCTCTCTCAAGCGTTTTAAACAACTTTTAAAAAACCCCACAAATACATAATGGGTGACATTTTTATGATTAGGGCAGTAAA